TGGTAAAATGGTTCCTTATATTAATCTGTTTCGTCATGCTGTGAAACACTAAATTCTTTACAAGTTGAACTACGCTTTGATTATCATAATGTAAAATATAGTTTTTTTTGTATTCAAGCCCAAATCTGATAGGATGTTCTTCAGTCAAATAAGCTCATTGATAGCTTCCATTGTGGATATGTATTTTAATTTGGTGGTTGAATGAGCAACACTTTTCTGTAGCCTTGATATCTAACTAATGGTTGATCTTCTAATTTTACGCACATACACGTAGTACTCTTCCATCAATCACCCATTTCAGTATTGGCGAAACCTATAATAATGATCTTCTACCTTCACAAACATAAAGTAGTGTCTAAAGCTCCCTTCAAGTAACAAAGCAGGCATTTGAGTCTTTTCCAATGCTCATTTCCCATATTATACATGAATCTCTACCAATTTCCACTTCCTGAGCAATATCTAGTCCGGTGTAAACCACTGCATACATCAAGCTATGAACCGCAACGTTATAGGAAACCTTCACCATTTTTATTTTTCCATCGTTAGTCTTTGGGGATTGATTCTTGGAGAGTTTCAAGTGACTCCCAAGAGGTGTACTTCTGTCCTTAACATCTATCATGTTGAACTTCTCTAACACCTTTCAGATATACTTTTCTAGAGAAAATTTTAGAGTACCTGTAACTTTCTCGATAACTATGGTTATCTTAGAATTTTCTTATGTACCCCTAAGTCCTTCATCTCAAACTCTCTATACAAGTACTTCTTCAACTTGTTGATATCATGTATGTCGGACCCAAGAAACAACATATTATCAATATAAAGCAAGAAGCTAGTATGGAAGGAATTAAACTTCTTTAGGTAGCGTCAATGATCACTCTCACATCTCGTGTACCTATACCTCTTCATGAAGTCATCAAACTTCAATTACCACTGCCTTGGAGATTGCTTCAACCCAGACATGCAATTTCTTAAGTTTTCATAAAGCGTTTGGTTTAGCCATATTGATATCTTCATCAAGGTCTCCATGCAAGAAAGCAGTCTTCACATTAAGTTAATCTATATACAAATCTTTTATAGCAAAAATATCAAGGACCATTTTGATTTTAGCTATCTTCACTACTAGAGAGAAGATTTCATTTTAATCGACTCACTCCTTCTGTTAGAACTCCTTCACCATGAATCCGGCCATGTTTCTCTTGCTTTTATTAATTAATCTTTTACCCTGAATATCTACTTGTTTTGTAATGCTTATTCTTCTTTGTTGGTAACTTAACCAAGGAACAAGTCCTATTCTTTTCAAGTGAGCATATTCATCCTACATAGCCTTCTTCCATTGTATGGAATCTTTCATCTTACGACTTCTATATAAGTCTCCACCTCTCAATTCTCAGTTAACAATAAATAACTTATTGAAGGAGAGTGCCAAACTGGAGTATGTCTTACTCGAGTGGATCTTCATAGTATAGCCGAAGTTACACTCTTAAGAGCTTCCCTCCATTAACTTTGCCTTCACTTCCTCCAGCTTTATTGCCTTCGCTTTACTCTTACTCACTCCAGTGCCTAAGAAGGTATTTTCGCTAGAACTTATTCTAGATCCTTTGCTTGTTTTTTGCGGTATTGGAAGACTTGATGATGTCTTCTTTTGACATCCAATCTAGAGTTACTTTGTCTCTGTCTTCGAGTTTATTTCTTTATTCATAGGTCACGCCTAAAGCATATCAATAAATGTCACATCTTACATACAGATAACTCTTCTATTATACTCATCCCAGAGGTGCAACATATGTCATCCAACCTGTATCCAACAAATATGAACTTTTTCGACTTTTTCTCTAACTTGTCTCTATATTCATTCTTCATTTTGATGTAGAAGACACACCCAAAGACCTTTGGATGAGCGAGGGAAATCTCTTGACCTCATCGCTCCTCTCTTGGAATCCTAAACCATGTGGGGTTGGGGTGCTCTGTGTATTATATAGGTTGTAGTACTAAATGCATCTACCCATAACATGTTTGACAACCATACAAGTAGTATTAGGCTTCTTCTCCATTTTTTGGTGTTCTAATCATCATCTATGCAATGCCATTCTGCTGAGATGTATCTGAAACCATTTTCATAAATTAGATCACATGCTTAGTGTAGTAATAAAAAAATCTCTCGACTATTGTATTCACACATATTTTCTGACTTTGGGCACTTGACTTTGAGATTCATCTCATTCTCAACAACAGCCTTCCACTTTTTGAAGGTGGTTAGAGTTTCGATTTGTTCTTAAGAAAATAAATACACACATTCCTTGTGGAATCATCTATGAAATTAACGTATTACCAAGACCCTCTTATTGAAGAGACCGAATTTGGTCTATGGACGTCCGAATGAACAATTTCTAACCTTCTTAACCCTTGGTGTCCCCAATCTTAGCGAAGGTAACCTTATTTTGTATGTGAAGTACACATGGGTCACACACATCAACGGTTGTGATTCTCAACTCTAGTATCTTTCCCTTAGACACAAAACATTTTCATTCCTTTATAACTCATATGACCGAGCCTTCGGTGTCATATAGTAAAAGTATTTATATCTTCAATTATTAATGTAACATCCTAAAATTTAAGACTAGATTCTTAAATTAATAAAGTACATAAATGAAAAATGATTTATATAGTTAAGTCATCAAGGGATAATCATGTCATTAGTTGATATGAAGTTTAGGAAGTTAGAAGTGAAAATAATAACATTTTAAAGTTATAAAGGGCCAAAAGTGTCAAGTTGGCAAAGTAAGTTGACCAAAGGATTTACTCAATTAATGAACGAGACTAATAAAGAGATATAATGGATGTAGAAGGACTCATTATGTCAAACTTAAGTAAAAATCACAAATATTGAGGTTTGTGGGATTTTGACCAAAAGATGTAAACATGAGGGACAAAATGTGAAAAAGTGGGAAATAAGATGCACCCACTCTTCTCTTATGTAGGAAGAACGAGTTAGAGCTCCAAAAACCCTCTCTAATGGTGATTCTTCATCCCTTCTCCATCCAGGCTTGATTCAAGTGAGGAATTAAAACATCCAAGTAAATAAAGGAAGGAAAAAAGGCTTACAAGGTATAAATTCTTTCCCTCTTAGCCTAGAGATCAATTTTTTGAAGTGATTAAAACCCATTATCAAATTTAATGAGATACATTGATTAGGGTTTAGTTTCCTAACCTCCCTTAAGTGGTTTCCATGGTTCTAATCTCAATTCAATCATCCCATTGATGGAGTTGATTATTTGGGTAAAAATCTTAATGAACCTCATAAATCTAAATTGGGGATAGTGCAATTAATGATGAAATGGGATTGGATTCTATGACCCCAGATGATATTTGTTAGCAACAAATCCAATTGGACTGTTCAAATTCATCCATGATGGTAGAACTAAGTATAAATATGGACTTGTGTTGTTTTGGAGGTAATAGTGATGAAAAAGATGGATTCCCTTGTAGTTGAGCATTTGATGAGTATATGATACTCATAAACATGATTTGATACTAATAGTATGTTTTAAATTCAAAAACATGAAGACTTGAATGATCTTTAGTTGAATTTATGAAGTATTTGGCCATAAGGGCATTTTAGGAATTTTTGTTATAGAATTAGACGATCTCGTTGTTGTTAAGAGATTAATATGGGATTGGATTGGGTTACAACATATTTTATGTGGTAAGGTCACACCTTATGATCTGATGAGTCAAACACTCTGCACCATTCGTCAGCGTCGGCGTCTACAACACTACCAGCGCCAGCGTATTAAGCTTATCAGCGTCAATGCTTAGTATAGTTATTCTATTGTAATATTTTGTATATTAGGTAATGATATAAATAAGTATAAAATAGATAGCAGACCTGTTATCTTTGTTATGAAGATCGGTTCTTAATATAGATAAGACACAATTCCTTAAATCATGGGATTCATATATATATATATATATATATATATATATATATATATATATATAGAGATAGAGAGAGAGAGAGAGAGAGAGAGAGAGAGATGTTCAGGTGTTTAAAGTAATTATTGTGTTATTGTATGCATAAATGTGTGCCAATCAAAATTAAATAGAAATTTAAATAATTAAATAAGTAAAAAAGGGTATTTTAGTAATTTGATAAATAGCTTCCACAAATAGTCCTATAATCATGCTAGTATTCAATTTTAACCTAATTTCTTTTCTTATATACAGCCGTGATCGATTTGCTAGGAGGTCGTCTCCGGTTGAAGACCCCTTCACGCCGATAATCCAATCACCGGCTACTGACCACCACCATCATTATATAAAAGTTTGGAGGTGTCTACAGATTTACCCTATCTCTTTTGATCGATAAAACCTAAAAATGTCTTCGCCTCTCTTTTACTTTCTTCATTCTTCACCATCTTCAGCGCTTCAAATTCATATTTTCTTCCAAGGCAGGTGTGATGGCTTCGCTATCGTCCTGGATGCATCTTGATCCATGTATTAATTGCAGTTATGCACTCCCATGTACGAAATTCTGCAATTTCAATTTTGCTTTCAAGTAATGGTACTTGATTAACTACATATTTGAATAAAGGTACATGTAATATATACTTTTATTAGATACAAATAATTCTGCAATTTCAATTTTGCTTTCAAGTAATGGTACTTGATCAATTTCAATTTTGCTCGTCATGGGTGTGTATTTTCAAATTTCAACAGCAGGTTATTACTATCGTTACCTAGCTAGGGAGTAGAGACGATATGTAAACCGGCTGGGTTAGATGAAATTGCAGAATTTCGCCCCTCTTTTACTTTCTTTATTCTTCGTCCTCTTTTACTGATTGGAGACTTGCTATTGTTTAGCGAAGCCGAGCAGTATATACAGCCATCAGCGAAGCCATTAACAGTATCCTTCTATTGTTTGTTCTTTGTTTAAGAGATTTTGTTGTGGGTTTAATTCTTTGTTCAAGAAATTTCGGTACCAGCCTAAGAGGAATAACATAATGCTTGACTTGATATACTGCTCGGATAACTTTGCCACACCGTTGCTGAGTACTGTTGAGAGTATTTCAAGGAAGATAAATGTTGCTGCTGTTGTTGGGTCTGTTGCAACCATCCGACAGTTACTTGAAGCACAAAGGCTCTGTTGTAGAATATTCTATTCACTCAATTTTTTGGATGTTCCTAAAAAATTCGAGGATAAGGCAGATGAATGGATGAATGAGTTTAAGAGTTATCTGAGAGAGAGGTACCCAGGTGACATAGAATGTGTACCAAAGGTGGATACTAGCTCTTATTAAATGCATATATATCATATAAAAACCTTTGTTTTTACTGTATATTGTTTGTAGGAGCCCTGGAAAAATTGAAAGAAGCACAATCCCAAATTTTGAAGCTCTTACTCAGTTCGGGACTGCCACAATCACAGCTAGAAATATTGGTGAAGTGGAAGCATCGTATAGCTTAACGGTATTCTAGGAAGCATTTTTTTTATGATTTATCCAACTTAATACTAATAATTGTATGTTTTTACTCTTTCATTCTTTGCAGTTTGATTGTTCGATAGGTATCAGCCAGATGGAGGTATAATAAGCCATTTGATTTGTTATATGAAACGAAATATTGGTAAAGTAAATGATTTTTGTTTTATGCAGGAACAAATTTTCATTTTGAAGCCAAAACAATTTTTCATTTTGATTTTATACAGGTAGCAAGAACAACTGTGTTTTTTCAAATTCAACCTTGGTTATGAATTGCTTCATATTTCAATTTATGTTTTTTTTTCCTGATTTAACACTTCATTTAGGTGGAGAGTGCAAGATCTTGACAAGGTTGAATTCTGAAAAGGTATCAAGTATGTTTACATAGATGATTCAATGGATGATATTGGTGAGATTCCAATTCTATTGGAATAGAATGAAGAATTCCAATTCTGTTGGAATGGAATGACGAATTCCAATTCTGTTGGAATCACAGAAGTTGATGCTTGAAGAACGGACCACATTATTCTTTTAGAATGTATTAGTCGTTGTTAGATTTTGATGTTTTCTTCCCCGTTTTGATTATTTTTTTAGTTTTATTCTTTAACAATAAATGTAATTCTTAACAATTGTTACCCGTATTCTATAAGAAATAATGTATTTTTTTGTTTTTATTCTTCAATTGATTGTTGAAGATTTTGTTATTCTACAAGAAATTGTTATTCTTCAGGAAGTTTTTAAAGTCATCATCAAGAAATAGGTTCAAGAATATTTTTATTATTTATGGTTCAAGAATATTTTTATTTTTGAATATACTCACAAACATATTCTGTCAAAATGTCCGAATTAAAAGAATTATAATTCGTAAAATCGGATTTTTAAAATTAATAGAATCTATGATCCCTTAAAAAATGAAATTTTCCTTTATTAAATCTATATTAATTGACTAAATTACCCTTGTAATTAATTAAGATGATTTTTTCAGTTATATTTAATTCAATAATATATATTAATCACTTTCTTAAAATAAGTAAATTTGATTGGCCCACATTTTTGTATACAATAACACAATAGATACTTTAAACAAAATAACCTAAGCCTAATGATATAAATAAGTATATAATAGATAGCAAATCTATTATCTTTGTTATGAAGATCGGTTCTTAATATAGATAAGACACAATTCCTTAAATCATGGGATTCATATATATATATATAGATATATATATATATATATATATATATATATATATATATATATATATATATATATATATATATATATATATGATTAGTATAATCAACATTAGGGTAAACCCTAATGTAGAGAGTTCGGCTTTGTCTCAATCATCTTTGTGACAACCCGTCTTCTTCGTGAAGCAGAACTCTTTCTTAGTGAAGGAACAATTTGGAGAACTCTCTGTGTTATTTACTTTCTGTTCTTTGTTTTTCTTAGATTAGTTTACTTTCGTTCTTTATACTTAAAGTGTATCCAATCGATTCAAACCTTCAATTGGTATCAGAGTAGGTTTGTGACACACTCAAGTAATCATGTCAAATCCCAAATCCTTTGGTCTCAACAAAATTCCTCCCTTTGATGAACACAATTTCGCTATGTAAACGACAAAGTCCATGGTTGTTCTTGAAACCATTGACTAAGAGATGAGAAATGTGTTGGATTAGGTGTCTAAGCCCATAACTATAATTGGTATGTACTTGACCCGAGAGTAGCATGGTCCATTTCGAGTTGCCTTCACCAGAACAATTTGATAGGATGGATATTTGAGAAAGAGGTTATTTGTGATTTATTAATGTATTATAAGTATAATATATTAATTGAGAAACCATATTATTTAATTAGTATTGATCAAGAATTAATTTGGAATTAATTTAGTGATCAAAAGAGACAAATTAAATTAACGAGGACTGATTATGTAAATCAGTGATACATATGGTTTGGGCTATTCATCCATGATGGACTAAGTTTATGTGAGAGTCCATGAAGAGTTAGTCCATATGAGTTATTGGATCATAAGCCTAAGTGTAAGAATTAGGGTTTGCATATGACTCTTGGAATTCTACACTACATATGTATTCCCTAAACCCTAAAACCGTGACTTGTGTATTCCATGAAGAGTATAGCCGATTTTTGGTGTGCCTAACCTCTCTCTCATTATCCTCCACTTGTTCATGGTGTTTGTGACTTGTTTGAAGTATCACACTTGGGGTGCTAAGCTTTTGAAAGGCCAAATTCTACGTGCTACAACTAAGAGGTATTCTTCTAATTAGTTTTTGTGTTTCAAATATCTATGTTGTATGCTAGTTATAGGTTTCATGCTTTGGATAATTTTGTTGCATGTATAACTAGAGAAAACTTAGATCCAAAGCATTAGGGTTGTATGTGCACCATAGGAGTGTTATAGTACATAAAACCCAATAGTGGTATCAGAGCCATGGGTGTTTTCTGTTATATTTATGCATTGGTTAAATTTTCAAAGCTGAAAAAGTCTCATTTCTGCCCTCTGACTGATGGACTCGACGAGTCCAATGATCTGAGACGAGTTCACTCACAGACTGTCAACTCGACGAGTTAAGTTCATGCACTCGTCGAGTAGAATCTTCTGCTTGCAGATTTTCGAGCTATTTGGCCAGAATTGGATTAGGATCATTACCACGAACTGTTTTGTATCATAAAATCTGTTTTTTTTTCTGATATGGTAGTGATTATCCTCATCCAATTAAAAGATAATTGTCAAAAATTGTAAGATTATTGCTAGTTATATGATAAGCTAATTATTTGTATTATTTGATTTATCTTTCTACATGAATTGTAATTGGGTCAAATTGGTAAAAGATAATATGATTATTTTATTGGTTAAAATTTGATCTAAATGTTTTTGAAGAGTTACAAAACTTGCCATCAAGTTTTGGAACTCAAAAAGTTTTTTTTAAAGGAGACAAAACGTGCCATCAAGTTTGGAATTCAAAAGGTTTTCAAGAGTTACAAAACTTGCCCTCAAGTTTTGGAAATTGAAAAGTCTCATTTATGAAACATTGAATTCTAAAAAAACCTAGTAATTTGAAAAGGTGCAACTCTTGGGTTCATAACTTAAAAAATTAATTAAATAGTTTTAATTTTGAATTTTGTATTTAGAGCCTTGATGTTTCCTTTGAATAGTTCAAATTACACTCGTATGGACTTTATTAAATTGATTAAACTAAAAGAGAAAATTAATAAATACATAATCATATGGTTTAAATTTAATTAAATTAAAAGTCTAATTTATTAATAGATTAAACCACCTAGTATTTTAAATGTATAAAATACACCCTTATATTATATAAAATTAAATGCTTAATATATTATATATGTATAAGTAAAAAAGTCAGTCTTACCGTTAGTAGGCCTCATTCACGAAGCTGGTCTATAAGGGGTGTTTAAGGAAGCGGCGTGTAAAATGACTGCCATTGGGTATGCACTCTTACCCACCGCACCCTTGACCAGTTGAGGGTCGTTAGCCGAACGGGTTTGATAGGACACTTACATCCTGATTAAAAGTATAATGAAAATACAAAGTAACTAAACATTTACAAATTCTCAATCTTAGTTACTTTAAGAAAAATGTGAATTTGATGCTAACCCATGAAATTGCACATTGCACCTTATTGGTCAGTTAGTGGAGCGTGTGTGGTTAACCGGTACACTAATGTGGACTAATGAAGGATGGCAATGGGTTTCTCGTAAATTATCATTGATCAATGGAGCGTGTGTGGTTAACCGACACATTGATTAGGTGATTAATGACATCGAAAGTACCAAGCTAATTTGCATGGTTATTCACACCTTGTTTGTGATCCTCGGTATCCCAGTCACAAACTTGAAGGGCATAATCGAGATTAAACATGCCATTGAAAATTTCAATGAATCTAGGAATTTCAATTCATTTAAAACCTAATGCTCAATTTCGTTTTTCATCTTGGAAATTGGTAAATCGTCATTTACCCAGCTTCAAATATTTTGCAATTGGATTACGGCATCCCTCTTCCGAATTGCAGAATATTATGTTGGCTCCTAGCCTTAATATTTCATTTTGGTGTTATATTAAGGACTTAAATCAATTAACTTGAATTTCTCCCTTGTGGATGTCTAGTTCTAACAACTATGGTCTTCCCGAATCTTTTGGAAAAAGCTTTCCTCATGAAGATGATATTCCCAGAAATCACACTTCACTTCCTCCACCTCCTCCAATTATTCTCCCTGGCCCACATGTTCGTCGACTTGAAAAGTTCAAGGTCACTCAAACCCTATTGGTAAGCAAACACCAAGATGGAAGGTATGTGTGTGCACATATCTTGGAGATGAAGTCACACACTGACAGGCTGGGAATGTTAGGAGTCGTTGTGTCGAGGAAGTTGGCTGTTGACTTGGTTCTTCAATCACTTCCTGAGTCATATAGTGAATTCATTAAAGATTACTATATGACAGACCGCAACGTGACCCTTATCGATCTTACCTATTTGGTTATTGCTGCTGAATCAGCAATGATTTGGCTTACTGGTAAAGCAAACTTGATTGGAAGATCTACTTCCCAAACTTCCATGGACATTGACAATGGCGACATTGGAAGTCCAAAAAAGCTTCCTCTTCCCAATGGAAAGGGATTGGCCAAGGTCAAACCGTTTGACCAAATGGTAAAGAGAAAGGCTAAGTCTATGATTGTCCCGTGTACCATTCCGAGAGAGACTATTTGTTTCTATTGCCAAGAGAAGGGGCATTGTAAGGATGGTAAAGTCAAAATGTATGACTCTGCTTCAGGTAAGTCCACTATCTAACTCTATTAAGTTCTTATTTGAAGATTCTTAATACATGATGTGATGAAATCCCATTTTGATGTTTTGTAGGATCGAAGAAGAGAAAGGAAGCTTAAAGAAAGAGCAGGCTGAGTCTGATCGCAAAGAGATGGATTTCGATCGCATGATTCGATGATCAGAGTTTTGAGCTGCTACTTAGGAGTTATGATAGATTGCTTAGGAATATTTAGAAACATAGTTTTCATATGTACTTGCATTGTAAGGACAAGATTTTCCGTAATTTTATAAATAAAGAAAAATTTTATTTTATCTTATCTTATATTTCCTTGCAATGGCATTTGTGAAAATTGATGTTTGTACGTTTCTATTTTTAGCAATATGGATTTGATTCTTTCGTTTGTGGTAGTGTAAAAATTTACCAAATAAGGAAAGATTCTCATCACCCAAGTTTCAATTGGACAGAAACTTGGAATGATGCAACTTGTATTGTATGATGAATGAGAACCTTCATCTTTGGAAAATTAAGACTAATTCCTTGTTCACATATAGGA